TTGGTTTATGTGGACGATATTGTTGTCACCGGCAATTCGACGGCATCTCTTGATGGTTTTGTTTGTGAACTCTCCCGCCGTTTCTCCCTTAAAGATCTTGGTCCTTTGCATCATTTCTTGGGGGTGGAGGTCATTCCGGTTCGCGGGGGTGTTTTCTTGTCTCAACGGCAGTATATTCGCAACATCCTGTCTGACCATAATATGGCCGCTGCTAATTCGGTTCGTACTCCCTTGTCTTCGGCTACTGTTCTCCACTCTGAGGATGGTTCGGGTAAGGCAGATCCTACTGCTTTTCGGAGGCTTCTTGGTTCCCTTCAGTACCTGGCGCTTACCCGTCCTGATGTCTGCTTCGCCGTGAATAAATTGTCCCAATATATGCATGCACCTACAGCGAATCATTGGCTAGCAGCGAAACGGGTTCTGCGCTATTTATGTGGTACACTTTCACATGGTCTCTTCTTACGTGCTAAGGTGCCTTTGCAACTCACAGTTTTCTCGGACTCCGATTGGGGCGGTATTCATGATGGCGGAAAATCAACTACTGCTTATGTTGTTTATCTCGGGTCCAATCCGGTCTCTTGGAAATCTGCGCGTCAGAAAACTGTTTCTCGATCATCCACCGAAGCGGAGTACAGAGCTCTCGCTCATGCCACTGCCGAAACTCTATGGCTCCAAAATTTACTCCATGAACTTGGTGTGCATATTTCTCGTGCGCCGGTGCTCTACTGTGACAATCTTGGGGCAACTTATGTTTGCAAGAATCCCGTTTTTCATTCCCGCATGAAACATCTAGCTTTGGATTATTTTTTTGTCCGTGATCTTGTCGCTGCTAATCGATTACAAGTTCGGCACATTCCGACTTCCGAGCAACCGGCGGATCTTCTCACTAAACCCTTGGGTGTTACCTTATTCACTTTGGTGTCTCCGACGGTTCCACCATCTTGCGGGGGTGTGTTAGAGATAAGTAGATAAGAATGCATAGTTTGAATAGTTGTTACGTAGCTTGTGTGTTTATCCCTTGTTTATAGCATTAGACTTGTTCTCTTCCACTTGTATAGGTTGTTCTCCTAGTTTGTAGGCTTAGTTACATGCCCTATACGTGTATAAATATCCTCATCACATGAATACTACTGCAACTCAATTATTCACAAATACTCCGTTCGTATAGCTTCCGCTGCCGCTGCCGCTTCCGCCTATGCCGCTGCCGCCGCTGCCGCGTCTGCCGATCCCGCCGCTGCCGTTGCCGCCGCTGCCGCCGTCGCCGCTGCCGCCTTCTCCGTTGGCGCTGCCGTCGTCGCCTCCGTCGCCGCCATAGCCAGATGTGTGTTCTCTGCAGCCCCCCAGTCCGCCTGCCAACTTTCTTGCGCATATGCCGCCGTCTGAGGGGTCTCCACCCTAGCGACCGGAAGAAGAAGAAGAAGAGAGTGGAGGCGAGATATTTATATTTTTATTCCTAGCTAGTTTTCTCTCTTTAATTGTAGTCCCACCCCCCACTACTTCGTTATTTACCGCTATTACTTGCTTCCTATTTATTAAAATAAATTTATGGTGATTATGTTATTAGATCTACTGTATTATAATATGCAACATTTCTTAGAGATTATGTTATTAATTAGATCTATTATAATATGAAATAATTGCACGACTAAAATATGTAGTGTTTCTCTATATAACACTAATTACATTTTCTTTCATATACTCCGTATAAGACTTTTTAATTTTAGACTACCAAATCTACCCTTTGTTTTAAATCATCCTTCTAATTCTTTTTATATTCTCTTTACTTATGAGATAATTTTGCATTAAATCTTCCTGCTTTTATGGTAACCACTTCATTATTTTAAAGAGAATATAACTATTCATTTAATCCGTATTATAGTGGTATTGATTATTGAAATTTTAGAAATAGTCACGGGGCACACGTTTGGTTTATTGTTCCATTGTGTAACACTTTTTTTTCTTTTCCATACCTAGTAATTCACCCGTGTTGCACGGGAAAATATTTTTTGATTAATTAAAGTTTTGGACTATATATATAAGAGCATATATTATATATAGCATAATAATCTTAATAAAAATATACTCCATGTGTCCCGATAAATTTTTACTATTTGAAAGAATGTGTGAAATCAATTTTTAAAATGAATTTATCTACAAATTAGTACAGAAATAAAAAAAATCACACAATTCAAAATTATATTAAAAAATTTATAGAATAAAAAGTAACACGAATATTTTATTTTATCAAATGATCAACAAGAAAATAACCACTTTCAGAAGGTGTAATAGTAATTGAAGAGATTAGTTTGGTAAGTTATCAGAAGGTGTAATGGTAACTGAAGAGTTTAATTTGAGCTCATATTTTTGTTTATAACTCTACACAACAAGAGATTGCTAATTTCCCAAAATATATACTCCCTGCATCCTTTTTAACTTTTGACGGAGAAAAAAAAAACAAAGGGAATGGCCTTCAACTACAGAAAAAAAAAACATTCAAAATAAAAAGATCCAAGAAAGCTTCAAATTGAAACCACCACGCAGAGGCAAAGGACAGATTTGGCAATCTGGAGGCAACCCATTACTCCTTAAAGCTTGAAAACTCAGTAAAAACAGAGAAATATCCCGATTCTCAGTTAGTGTTTATATCCCAATTCTCAGTTGGTTTCTCATCAGTTAGTGTTTATATCCTGATTCCCTAAGCTTAAACAACAGTAAAAACACGGAGAAAGAATGGATAATTTGTACCCAGGCAAGGCAATGATAAAGGTTGTGGTACCATATAGCATCAAAAGTGGTGTAAGGTGCCATGTGAGAGAGTGGGGCCCGGAGCATAGCCTCAAATGTCCAGCGCCTACCTAAAAGAGAGCAAGGACAAAAAGAGTCCTCCAAAGTCACTTTAAATTGCATTTCTTCTTCTTCTGCACGTACACCGGCCCATCTCTCGTTGATAGGTCCGGCCCATAAAAGAAAGGGCCAGTGCCCTAAACAGAATGGGCCAGGGATGAATGATGCAACCCCCACCCACCCACCCAACCCCAAAGATTTCACGCTTGTTTTCCCTCTAAGGGTACTTACTTATCACATTGCAGTGGTTAACCCTTCCCATGCAGCTAGCTATAATCTCACCTTATTGGGAAGTCTTTCTCGTGAATGATGGATCCACATAACCACATTTACTATTCAAGCACAAGTGGTGGATCAAAATGCCCCATAGTTATCAAATGCGCCAAACACAACCCGGTTTCTAAAGAAGAAGGAATTACCTCATGTCAATATGGCCTCAATGGCAAATGTTTTAATTTGAATATAGGGATTAATAAAGGATAACTGGGACACGTGAAAATGTTCTTGCCCGTTTGCTAAGAGTATACCCGAGTGCCTAAATTTTTATAAAAGAAAAAAAGTGATATCGGATGATTTTATTATTTAATTAAATTAACGATAAAAGTATGTAAAAAATATACTCCCTCCGTCCCATGAAACATGAGAGTTTTGCTTTTTAGGAGGGATTTAATGTGAGTGTATTTTGGTATTGAATTTCCAAAAATGTCCTTTGATGTGATGTGTAAAAGTATGATTTGATGGATAGATTATTAGTAAAAAGATATGATGTGATAGTTAGGGTATGAAAAAGTAAGGGGTAAAAGTGACTTTTTAATAGAAATGAGAAGTGTTTTGTGGGACGGATAAAAGAAGAAAGTAGAAATGTTTTATGGGACGGATGAAGTATCTTCATGCCTTCATATGTGAATAATAAGATGAACATGAAGAGGTGTACCTCAAGTTGCATACCCAGAGGTGTACAATGATATTTTGATTATTCAGACACAAAATAATAATATTGCAATAGAAAAATTTTACAAAAGAATTTTATGTCAATGTGAATTATCAAACCCTCAGTGCTTCTCTGTGAATCTGTGATATACAACTTGAGTTACACCTCTTAGTGTACAAGTAGCTTCATTCAAAAAAAAAGTTTTTTCGTTTACAATACTTTATTTCTAAACTTTTATTTTACATGTGCGTAGTAAAAAAAATCATAATTATAGGTTTTTTTTGGTGTTTTGTGAGTAGTAAAAAATCAAACTTATTGTTAAGTTTTTTTAAATCATAATTACATTTTCGAACAACATTTGTTTAGGTTTAATTATCATATAGCCAAGCTATTTTTTCTTTTTACACATATAAAAGGACTAGTTCACAAAGAACAAGTAACAATGATGGAAATAATTGAGAAAAGAATCTATTCTAAATATGGAAGGCAATTATCGAAGGGGGCAAAAGTACGTTTTGTGATTATAGTATTAAGAATTTGTTATTGTAGCATAAAGTAGATTAGCCTAAAGAAGAAAAAACGCGTTGTTTTAACAAAAAAATCCGTACTAAAGTTTAACTTTATTAATCTCTATGATTAAATACATTTATATTTTAATTAAGTAATTTTGGTTTTTGTTTCCTATTTTGAAATATAATTAATTATTAAATGGGAAAATGACTAAAATATGAGTAATATATTGAAAATATATCAAAATAAAAATTCCATTACGTAGTATTTATTTTTGAAATAAGAGTTAAAATACATTTACACTAACAATCATGATCATGTACACTAACAAAAAGTATAGTGAAATGCTCATTTACACCGATACATTTTATTTAGAAAATAAAACATGAAACTCTTACTTTGATACTTTCTTTCTATTTTACTTCTATTTAGAAAGATTTTTTAAATATGCAATTTGTTTGTTTAATAATGTTCAATTGAAGTAATTGGTTTGCTCAATTTCCATTAGTTTGAGCGGTCGAAAGTTCACTTTTCATTAAAACGGGCCGGTCGAGCCCAAATTTATATAAACCGGACTCGGCTTGTTTTTATTAAAACGGTCCAGGCCGGAACGGGTTTTCAAAACTTAAAAATTGGAATCGGACCTAACCCGGCTTGTTTGAAACGGGCCGATTCCACGGGTCAACGCGTCCGAATCTATCATAATACTAACATTCTTCAAAACAAGTAGAAATTATAGAATAATGTCTTCAAAGTTCAAAAAAGAGGAATATGGAAGGACCGAAAGAGTTACTAAAATTAATTGGAATAGGTGGATATATACCGTGTACGGTGTACACTTTACTCTCATGCCCCTCTTTTTTGAACTTTGAAGGCATTATTCTATAATTTCTATTTGTTTTGAAGAATGTTAGTATTATGATAGGTTCGAACCCGTTGACCCGTGGAATCGGCCCGTTTCAAACAAGCCGGGTTAGGTCCGGTTCCAATTTTAAAATTTTGAAAACCCGTTCCGGCCCGGACCGTTTTAATAAAAACAAGCCGAGTTCGGTTTATATAAATTTGGGCTCGGACCGGCCCGTCCCCACCCCTAGTGTACACCCCATGATTATCCAACAACAACAACAAAAAGAAGACAACCACATTTTGGCATTATAATGTCAATATGTTTCAAAAAGAGCAAAATTGACAATCTTCATGACTTCCAAAAAATCCAAAAAAACCTACAAAAAACAATTGGAATATGGAAGGACTGAAAGAGTTACTAAAATTAATTGGAATAGGTGGATATATCGTATATTTACTAAAAAAAATAATATTAGTATTTAAAAAACGGTCCGGTCCGGGTCCCAAACAATTTCAAAATGAGGAACCGGACCGACCCTAAAATCTATCGGAACCGGACTGACCCGGACCGTTTTAAATTTTTGAAATGACGACCCGGACCTAACTCGGCCCGAACCTGGCGGTTCGGTTCCGACTCACGGTTCCTGGACCCGAATGCCCACCCCTAATAACAATACAAGAGTCTTCAATACTCTATATATTTTAATTTTATTTGGGGGGTGGGGGGCACGATTTAAATCCTGTCATATTTAATGGCTCCTCTATTGAAGCTTTAAAACTTAGTAATCCTATTTCACACCAAACAAAAGTAACATGGGGACTGCACAAAATAATGTAGTGATTGTTGACAATAATATTTTAGTTAATAGAGTGAAAATTTATACTCCGTGCTCGTGCAAGTGCAAATGTGCAATGCACGAAAAAAATTATATCAAATTTTAAAATAGGGTGATGCTAAATTCATTCCAAAAATAGTTATATCTACCCCTTTAACATAAATTTGCTAAATCCATATCAATATAAACTTTATATTAATGGGTGTGTATATAGCCAAATCCACCCCCTTTAAAATATTAGTATTACAGTATCACTGTATTAGAATGAAAATTTATGCTCCATATGTATTAGAAGAGCTGGGCCGGCCTAATAAGGGACAAACATTCGATTCGGACTGGGCCTATGATTTTAAGGGTCCAATAATATTTAAGCATTTTATATATGTATATAAGTAGCCCAGCAGTCCAGCACCTAGCCCAAGTCAAAGGCCCATCTTATAATCGTCCATCCCTTCTAACTTAGTACGAAGGCCGTAGAAGGTAAAGTGTCAGGTCGTAGAGAGCCAGAAACGCAGAACTCGAACGCAATTCGATAGGAAAATTCCGAGTGCCGGTAGAGACACCGCCGCCACCGCCAGACGCCGCCTACCCTCCAGGTATTCCGCATTCACTACTCACAAGCTTTCCAAATTGTAAATTTTTTCTCTTTCATAGTTTCATTCTTTGGATTTAAAATCTAGGTTTAATTATTAGTTTTTAATTTGAAATTCTTACTAATTGTCATGAAATAGAATGAATTAATGGTTCTATATGTTCTTTATTTGATTTGAATGAATTGATTTGAAATAGAATGAATTTATTATATATATAATATAAAAAAAACTGCAATCTGAAAAAAAAAACTGAAAACTGAAATACCAAAAAATGTGAGAAGGCACACGTTTCAAATGTAGATTTTTAAGATCATGTTTAAGTTCATGAAAGCAAAACTCAAGTAGAAATATACCTTGAAAATGTGCTGTGCTACATATTTTCGTAGGTACCCAAAGAATATCATTTTATTATCCTACACACCATAACACATAGATCAAGCAGTGGTCTTGGCTATGAGAAACCATCTTAAGGTTTTAGTGACTAATCTCTTAGAATCTTCTTCTTTAAAGAAATATGTTTAATTCAGTCATTCAATTTTTAAATATATTAAGGTAGTGTTTGGGAACTAGAATTCATTTGAAATCTTAGATTTCAATTCCAACATTTGAAATTTCATAATTTCAAACTCACAATGCTGTTTGGAAAGTCATAGAATTTCAATTCCAGAATTTGAATTTTGAAGTCATCAAAGACGGTAACGGAAGCGAATTTATATGTATTGAATTGTTATTATATAAGAGAAGATCACTCTTTAACTACAAGTTTAAATTAAATAAAAATTAAGTTTGAATTTGTAAATGACATGGGGAGGGGTGTCGATTTGTACTTGAGTTAGTTTTGAATTAGAAGAATTTGGTTCAAATCCAAAACCAAATTCTTCGAGCTCCCAAACAAGTAGTTTGGATCAAATCTGGATATGAAATCCAAATTCAAGTTAAGTTTATTTTAAAACAAACCGAGTTACTCCGTGTATAAAATTCTCTCATTTCGTTTAAAAAAAAGTCATCCAGTTAATACCGTGTTTTACATTTTTTGAACGAATGAAAATGTCCAAAAAAATAAAAAATAAAAACTCTTATGCTACGTATGACATCACTTAAAAACTCGTACAATGAGGTTTTCTTTATGTAATTTAAAAGAAACCAAACTTTAATATATACTTGAATTATAATCTGCGATTTTTCAGATTGAGAATTCTTAAGTTGTCTCACCTCTGTATTATGTGTTTTCATAATAATGAAAATATGCACAATTTAAAACCTGTAAGATCTGTTCCATTATTTCTTCCCAAAGTACATAGCACTAACTACACTGGAACATTAGAACTTGACTACCATATCATGACCATGATTTTTGGGAGTGTGTGTATCAAGACAAAATAGAAGTTTATGCATGTAGGCAATCCAATACGGGTATGTACAAATGCACTATGGGTATTTCACCATTTTCTTCATGTATATTAAAAAGCAAAAAAAGGAGTAAAGAAATAGTAAAAGACTACAATGTCCCTCCAAAATTCGCAAATGAAAAGAAAACTCAAAACAGGCAATATCATTATGAAAGAATATTAATAAGTAAAAGGTCTAACATTTAGATAAGTTGAGATACTTCAGCCCAGACATACAACTTCTTTATAAGAGACAGCAAAGTATGAAACATTGCCTGCATAAATAAGTCTACCAAGCATGTCAAGAGAATTTCATAAGCATACTTCCTCTTATACTCTTCCATGTTCCTCCATGCTTATACCATGTGACAAAGGAAGCAATTCCCGCCCATCTGTTTGCCTATTATATCGGAAGAATCAGAGAATTTGCATGAATGATATTAAGCAAGAAACCAATATATGAGAAAACACAACCGCATTAACACTAACAGAGGGACTTGCCTCATACCAAGACACCATGTTATTCCAAAAAAGCTAGTAATCAGCAGGGAAATTAGATTTAAAAAAATATCTGGTATGTAGAAGTTTTTATGTTCTAATCCACAGAGTAAAGCATTAGTCTTGTACCACCAAGTGACTGGTGGTTTTGAATAATGCTTATAACTATCTGGAGTTAGCATTAAATGCAAATAATGCAACACCGTAGTGGCATGGAACACTAAACAATAAAACTTATAAAATTGTACGGGCTCCTGATCAATATCAATACAAATCCAACTAATTGTTGTCCACAACTTATGATCGAAGAGACGAACATCTTCATTGAAACTTAGACTTTAGGAAAATGAAAAGCAGAATGCTTGCATGCATATATAGGTCAAAATGGTTAAGAGCATTTATGTGTGCAAATATATTGTTAAAAAATGGTCTAGTGTTTTTTATGTGCAACCTTCATTTTAGTTTTATTCAGTGACACAGAGTGTAAATGAAGTCATGCGAATGTGAAAATATAATTTAAAATGTGATAAATGTAATTGCCATAAAGTGACATAGTGAGAATGAAGTCATGAGAATCTGAACTTTGTCATTTTTTTAGCGATTTAGTTGATAACCTATACTTGTGCATTGAGTAGGTTGTACTTCAACCAGGAACACTCTGAGTTGACATTTGTATAATCATCATATTGTACATAACGAAAAAATAGTCATTTGGATCTTGATCTGAGTGGGAAAATTCCATTAACATTACATTTCATTTTTTTGGACTATATATAGTTTTCAGTCTCCACTCTCTAACTAATATTCTTCAGATTTTTGATAAAATTATTAATATAACTAAATTCTAATTATTAGAATTTAGTTTTCAAGCTTCAATCAAAATTAAATTAATATTAGGGTAAGAAGTGAGACCATAACTTTCAAGTGTAACTAAGGTTGACTAATGACTGCTTACTCTATATATATTGAAGGTAGAAGCTGAGTCTAAAGAATTATTAAGGCATTTTGGAACATACCAATCAGTCAACTAAAGTGAGTGATTGGAGTTTAAAGCTGAGTTTGGTCATTATTTTTTTGAATGGAAATGTGGGATAAAGAAGTAAAGAAGCTGTTTTTGTGGGTGAGGAAAATCAACAAATAGTTTATGTGTTTGATGCTTCCACTTTTGTGGGCTATTAGATATCCAAGAAAATCCTTAAAGTCTACACTAAAGTATATGACCAAAAAAGAAGGCAGGGTTACCAGAATTGTTGAAGAGGTGTCTGAGAGCATGAGACGAACAACCTATGAGAACACTGCCTTTGAAGAGGATGCAATGCCAAATGATGGTGATACACTGCTAAAAAGACAACATTTCAACACGGATTCATGATACCTAATTGCAAGAACATAAATCAAATGAACTTTACAATGGAACTTACTGAAGCCAACTAATTTCATGCAGTGACTATTTGAAAACAAGGGGAGCTGCTGGTATTTTTGGATTTTTAAAGGTATAGAGGGAAGTTAAGTTATAGTAGTTGTTTTATAGAGATTTTAGAAGAAATCTCTTTTTGACTTGTATCAAGATCAGACTTGCAATTATACTCTGAAGTAAACATGTGTCCTTACATTTCATATTAGGATGCATCTCCTTCTGTCCCTGCACTCTTACTACACATAATGGGAAATTGAACATCAATAAATAAATTCTAGTCAGGAACAATCATTTGGAGAAATCATAAATTAATAGAAACTATGCTGCAAAATTCAAATTTAACTAACCTTTGCAAAGTTCAGGAACAATCCTTTGCAAAATTTAACCACACTTTGCGTTTCTATCAACTTTGTTAGGCTATGATGATGTCGTAATCTGTTTTAGATATTCATGGGTGGAGGAAGATTGGCTGTTTCTTCTTTCCTTTTTGATTTTGCAGCAATATGATCAAGCGATGCTAGTCTGAATAGTGTTTTGCTTCTTTTTTTGCAGATTTAGAAGTTTTTTGTGTCATTTTTATTATTCATGGCACATGGCAGTTTTACATTTTCTAGTATTACTTTTCTTGCTATTTTTTTACACAAGTTTGTTTGTTGAAGGCGTATGGCTTAGCCCGTACCGCCCGTGCCCACCCCTAATTCCAACCATTTCACTGCAGGAAAGGCGAAAGGCGATGAGTCTAATTGCAGGTTCCTACGAGCGGTTCATATGGGGATTCAAACTGAAGCATCTGAAAGACAGTCAAAGCCTTGACCTAATTCCCCTCTTTTCCTTCCCTTCCCACCTCTCAACTATCAAATGTGCCGATGTTTGTGGTTCCGCTGCGGTTTCAGGCGGATCCGACGACACCATTAAGATCTATGACCTCTCTACCTGCTCTGAGATTGGATCCCTCCACCATTCCTCCACCATTAACTCCCTTGCATTTGTTACACCCCCTCCTCTCTCATTCCCTCGCAATCTCATCTCCGCGGCAGATGACGGTACTGTCTCCATTTATGACGCTGATCCATTTGTTCACCTTAAAACTCTCAAAGTCCACAGAAAAGGTATCAATTCCATTTCTATCCACCCTTCTGGTCGGTTAGGGTTGTCAGTGGGCCGAGATGAGTGCTTGGCAATGATTAATTTGGTGAGAGGGAGGAGGAGTTTCTACTGCAGGTTGGGCAAAGAGGCCTCAATTGTGAAATTTAGCGAAACTGGAGAAACATTCTACATGGTTATGGATAAAAAAGTCTCAGTACATGAATCTGAGGATGCTAGAATAGCCATGGAGTTTGATAATGCCAAACAAGTTCTCTGTGCTACCCCAGGAAAGGTGAGTCCTGCATTGTGATCTTTATTTGATGGAACTTTTAAGGTGCAAATTTTTGTATGATTTGTGTTTGTTTGAAGCATTGGGTTGATAGCTTGTTTTTTAGGTTTATGTAAACAATTGTCTGTTTGCTGTATTTCACTGAGTTCAATGAATGCATTGATTTTATGAGTAAAAGCTGCAGATTTGATTTAAAACTGCTCTCAAACAAGTCCAATTTGTGTTTGTTACTTTGGGTTTAGGTCATTTTTGTGTTACTTTGGGTTTAGGACAAATCTGTGGTAATGGTCTAGATTGCTCGGGTTGGATCATCAGGCTTACATGGGTTTTCTTAATAAATACAATCAAATGTATAATAGCACTCGTGTTTGTATAATTAATGTAATAAATCAATATCTAATACTCCTATCCTAACTTGTTTTGGCTGTTTTTGTTTCTTGTCTGTTCTAATTTGTTTTGCATACTTTCATTTACGGAGTATATAAAGTATTATATTAACTTTGGAATATTTATCAAGGCTATTATAGTGTTATTGTATTTTTTTCCTTAGTGATTTCAATTACTCTGTACGTTATAAGAAGACTAAGACAACAATACAATATCATTTCATTGTTCGAATAGAAATAGGATATGTCAAAATAGAATAGAAAGAAAATAATACATTAACATGGTGTTTATCACTTTTATATTTTGGATTAAGGGCGTCATTTGGGAAAAGTCTTTCCTCGACGAGTCGAACTGACTTTGCGTTACGTTTAGGTTTCAGATCACAAACTTCTAGCTCAAAATTCAATAATTTTTCCGACATGTCATTGGCTAAAAAACAGGCCGGGTCAAATTTTGACTAGTCTATTAATGACTAGCTATGTAGCACAGGCACAACAACAACAACAACCCAGATTTGTCCCACGAGAGTAGGGTATGGGGAGGGTGTGTGTAGCACAGGCACAATATGTCATATTATCAACCCAAAGACAACTTCATCTAATGCACATGCATGTTTCTATATATAACTGTTAGTTGTTTCAGATGCTGGTTGTTTCTTATGTTCAAAGGTTAATGGAAGAGATTCTTAAGCTATTACCTTCTTGTTTTTTCTATACAACAACAACAACAACCCAGTTAAATCCCACAAGAGTAGGATCTGGAGAGGGTGTGTGTACGCAGACCTTACCCCTACTCGAAAGTAGAGAGGCTGTTTCCAAAGAGACTCCCGGCTCGACGTCGAAAGTTGCATTGCTTGACTAACTGCTACTTCATTAATTAAAGAAGCGCAGACAGTTTAGAGATCCATTTTGTTTTTTCTATATGTTCTGTAATTGAACGGTTGAACCAAATTTTTACAGGGTGGCATACTATTTACTGGTGGGGAGGACCAGAACATTACTGCATGGGACACAAAAAGTGGAAAGGTCGCATACAGCATCATCAAGGCACATTCAGCCCGAATTAAAGGCATTGTTGTGCTCTCCCACATTGACAATTCCTCTGCTGATGTCGATCCGTATTTAGTAGCATCTGCTTCATCGGATGGCAACATACGTGTTTGGGATATTCGCAATGCAAGCAAGGAGGAATCAGGTCCATTGGCTGAGGCCAATACGAAATCCAGACTGACTTGTCTTGCTGGATCATCCATCAAATGTGAGTCCTTTCTAAGCAGTTACAATGTGTTTCTTCTTTGTACGTGCAAGAAATTTTTAAGCTAATACTCCCTTCGTCGCAAACAACTTTACCCAGTTTGGCTTTCATGAAGTTTAAGAAACGTGTTGGAAAGCAAAAAGTGTATGATCAAAATTTGTTTGGGTGAGAGAAATCTCGTGAGCCATATGTTCATTACTAAAAAATGAAATGAAGTTAGAAATGTTTTTTAGGACTTTCAAAAAAGAGAAAGCGGGTAAAGTTTTTTGAGATAGAGGAATATAAATATATCTGGACAAAAAGAGGAATATAAATATATCTGGACAGTTCAAAGTTCAAAGTTTTTTGAGACAGAGGAATATAAATGTTTTTTCCTCTCACTACTCTAAACTTATAGTTTTACCAAAAGGGGCTCAAGTCAAATGCTACTCCATTAGAGATTTTTTATGAACTTTGAACTGTCGTTTGCTTCTATGATCTCTTGTCTGTCTTTTTCATTTTGAAAAGCATATATGATTGCAGAGCCAGTCATTCTTTTCCAGTAAATGTACTTTGCTTCTTATAACTTTCCCCTTCGCTTCACTTTCAGCTGTACAAAGACCTCAGGTGGGAAATTCTCCTCCAAATGAACGGCGGGAAGAAGCAGAGTGATCTTTTCTTTGAGGTTTTTTTTAAAAAAAAAATTCTTGGAAATGGGATATGTTTTTTGCCCGCATTAGAAAGCTTTTCTTGTAGTGATTAGCTATTTGTGTGCTTGTGGCCTTCTCTGATGAATGAGACTTGAATGCTTTTACTAAACTGGACTGAGGAGCTTGAGCTTTTAAGCTTAATTTTTGAGCTTTTCTCCATTTTAACGAATCAAATGAAAATATTACTCCGGAGTATTTGGTTATGACGTTTGCATACATGTTTAAGTCTGGATTGTGTTGTGCCGACTTAAATTTTGGTTCTAGGCCACTGTTTTGATTTAGTTTTTTTCCCCCAATTTTTAGAATTTTTATATTTTAGTTTTTTACCTTCTCGGTTTCACAAAACTCTCTGTACATTCTTTAAAATTGTTTGTTTGACCTGATCCGACCCGAGAAAAGACTTAATAGACCCTTTGATTTCTGGCCCAATATCAAATAAGCCCGAGTGACAATGACACGTAAATTATGAGAATAGAAGTACTCTGTTTGATTTTTTCTTTTGTCGATATTTTTAAATTATAATAATAATATATACTCGTAAAAAAGTGCTATTTTTAAATTTAATGGCAAATTCATTTTAACATGTACTTTTGAAAAAAATATTTACACTAAATAGCATTTAATCCTCCTATATACAATGCTAGGTGCATTTCTTGGTGAACAGTGTTCCCGCCTAAACTAAGTGGATCTTGCTGCGGTTTTGGGCCTGCATTGGTTGGCGGTATGGGCCTGCATTGGTATACGGAAATGTCCTGCTTTGGTGTCTATTCGAATCTCCTTTTTTGCTTTATGTCCATTCATTACCATCTTACATAAAGTTCCATTGATAACATAAATTTGGTGGCTCCATAAAGGTAGTTTAAAAAAAAAATTTTGTGTCAAATCCATCTATTTTAAAGATTTTTAAAATCTAAACCAATTAATGCATGGTTACATGTATCATGGAGCATGATTATAAATACTCAAGCATTATGATGTAAACTTCATTCATTCCAAATTCACTTCTCAAACATCCAAAAAAATCATCAAATGTCTCAAACGTCTTCTTTATCACAATTGAAATTTAGGAAGTTACCTTCCTCGAGCTTCAAGGTTGGAAAATTCTTCCTCTTCTTTGCATAATTTTTGTTCTTCCTTTTTGTGATAAATTTTTATGCTTTTGTCTACAATATTGTTTTCAATATTGCAAACTACACAAGGATTGAACATAAAAAGGTTTTTTAAATAAAATGGAAAGAAAAAAAGAGCATGATGACATGATAAAAATAGAGAAAACAAAGCATGGTGATACACATGATCGAACAGTCGAACAGGAAGGCAAACCATTTCTTTGAAATTGAGTTTGTACTCATTAGATGAGTAATCTTATGATGAAGAACTACATTTTAACACTGAATGCAAGACATATATACAAATTCAATTCGGTTAGCTACTGAACAGTACATGGGAAATTAATTTTCAATTTCTAATATTTTATAAGAGAATACAGTGATAAAAAAATTATTAGCACTACAAAAAACCATTTATAACTTATTGACATTAGAGATCTAAATCTTGATATGCAAACTTAGTTTTGAAATAATAACATAACGAGTATTTAAGAAGCTAAAAACAGAAAATGCATGTCAAGCTACAGACTAAAATAAGGGTTAAAGTCAAATGAAAAACATATCGATGAACTTTTAGAGGATTTTTAAGTAAAATTATCCAAAAATCTGAAATCCAGATTTAAGAACATATGTGCGAGCAGAGATTTTAATTTACACTCCCATTTATTTGGTCAGAACAATAGATGTTAAACAAGGACTTTTAAATGCAAATTGATACGAATAAAAATTGGAAAACAAGAAAATTTAAACGTTGATGCTGAAAAACAATATCGTTCACACACATAATTATTCTTAAAAATTATTTAGACAAAAACTTCCATTTTTAGAATTATTTTTCAAATCACTTCATCTAGAAATAGGTATAGAAATAATATCATACATCTACGAATCAGAGTAAAAAGAATTGATATGTTCTTTTAAAAATTATGAAATTCACTTCGAAATTATTAATTACTGGAAAATATTAATTTCTTTAACAAGATCGGCGTTTTACAGAGATTATAATCGATTAAATATACTACTCTTTTCACAAACAAATTTGAAAAACAGATATGTACTTTTAAGAACACATTCTCACTAACTGGAGTAAAAAATATTCTTGATAAACACAGAAATTCTATGCATGTCGTTTGAATTTGTCAAAATATTTTAATAAAAATTTCTAATATTTTTTAAAAATATGAGTCATCTAACGGCTAACATGCATCTAGGATGAAGATCCAAAGAATTTAACAAAAAGAATAAAGGAAGATATTCAGATCTAATATTTCATAATAATCTTTGAAAAAAGGGAATATATAATCATGAAGATATTCCGATGGAAATATAACAAATTAATATCACCGAAATTACCCCTGATTCAAATCATCTGCCGTCCTTGAACCACTACAACTTCAGATCGCCGCACGATCGATCTACAATAACATCGCTATTCTACGGAGATTAAGCCTCCGACAAATTAGAATGCGGCGTGTTCAAAACATCGGAGACATAACGGCCAAATTTGAGGTCGGCGATTTGAAGAAATCACCGATATAGGGATTTAGGGAGAGAAGGGATAGGGCGGCGATTTGTGTGGTCGAATGGCGAAGACGTAGGCTAGGGCATAAAACATGATACGGAGTACATATTTTAATTGGGCCGGTTCAATTTAATAGTTGGGAATTAAATTTTGGGCTGGATTTGGTTTGTGGAGTTTAATTTACAATTCCAGTTTTGTAATTGGACCGAAATTTTGGGCGAGAGTAAATAAATTTAGGCACAATTAATAAAAAAAAATTTGTGTGTGAACATTATTTGTTCCGCTTTCATATGCCCGAAATTTGCAATTTATATTTTAATAAATGAATTTTTTTTATACATATAGGAGGAATTGGAAGTTTAATTGAGCCATGTTACAAGTTCAAGAGTAACGAAGATTCACTTGATATGAAAATGTGTTGGATTTGCAAAAATGTTTCTGGTCATCTTCGCTGTCTATGCATTCGTGATGTTGGATGGGATATATATTTTAAATGTGATCTTTGTGCGCTTTTTCCACTGCCATCACCAATTTTACAACCAATGCCGTCCATAACGTTTGTACCGCCACCACCAACTTCACAACCTATGCCACCCATTACGATTGCACCGCCTCTGCCACATTTGATGACTACAACGCCAGCGATGCAAGTGACGGTTACACTGCCGGAATTGAGAAGATCTAAGCGGCTTAAAACAGCAAATACAAAATATTTTAATGATAATTATGTCACTTACTAAAGAGTGTGATTATTGGAATGGTTAGTACCATATTCAATTTTTTTGTTTTTTGTACTAAACTAAATGTTAGTTATTTCTAAAATTCTACTATACTCTTCAATTGATGTATAATGATCTAATTATTGTAAGACGTCAATGCTTATTATTAACATCAATGAATGTATTTCAACATCTATTCTGCAGTGGCTATTTTATACCTTATTTTAGAAATGTTTTTTTCCCGTGTATTTAATATATTCTTATATATATTTGATAAAAATTAATTTATGTTCTTTTGCAAACTATATATATTAATGAATTCACTTTTACATTTAATGACGTATGTAGAAAATGCAAGAAATACTCCGTTAATAGAAAAATCCAGATCGTTGCGAATAAACAGAGTTAATTACACTCCTTCGCCCCTCAGCAACTTAACAAACGGTAAATATATCTATTTGAATTCTTCACGTTTATTTTGTAAAAAAAAATTATGTGTTAACATAAGCGTTGATTTATTCGATTAATAATGTCAGTTTGTACACCGTTCGATCGCTTCTCTTATCCTACATCAAGCTCTGTTCATGCATCAAGTGAATTGCAAAAACATGATAACCTTACTCCACCTCAAAGTTGTATTACACAAAGAAAGGTTTGTAATACAAGAAAACGATCATTTCAATTAGGTACGTTCAATGTTTATTTGTTAAAATTGCTTCCTTGATATTTAGTTAGCACATTAAGCATTACGTACTATTAATATTCTTTCGTATTTTTTATTATGTCGCTATTACAATTCCCAGTGAATGAAGAGAACCAATATTCTTTACCTCCAACTGCCCTTATGAACGACTTTATTACACAATCTTGGGCTGTAGATTCTGATTTGCGTCACGACAATAACGATGTGTTTCAAACAGAAGTTGTTAGAGATTTGGATATGGACTTTATTGATTCAATAGATTCCAACCAATCCCAATGCGTTATGTCAACGAGGAAAAATATTTTTCAAAAAGTCGATTTTTGGGACATCGGTGACTGTAGTTACAAATGTATGAACTGCAATGCCTTCTTTTGGCTAGAAGAGCGTGTTCTAGGTCATTCCACCAAAAAAGATCCTAAGTATTCCCTTTGTTGTAAACACAGGAATATTAAATTAGCTCCAATCAATGAAGCACCGATGCCTCTAAGGGAATTTATCATCGGAAGAGATGCAGAGAGTAAGCACTTTCAAACAAATATTCGGTCGTATAATTGTATGTTCTCTTTCACATCACTTGGTGGACATATTATTAGAGATTCAACTCCCGGTAGAGGGCCTCTAGGTTTTAAGCTAGGAGGGCAAAATTATCATCGAATTGGAAGCTTGCTACCGTCCGATGGCATTGTTTCGAAATTTGCGCAGTTATACATTTATGACACACAAAATGAAGATTTCAATCGAATCATGTCTATGAGGTATATGTTATACTACTATTCATAATTTAACACAGCTAAGATGAACCAAACTGCCAACGTAGTTTATAAAGAAGTCTTCCAAAACTTATAATGTAACGTTTCCAATATCTATATCATTGTATACTTCATCCTCTCAAATATTTCGTTATATATTCGTATTTTAAATCAGGCCTGTTGAATTCTAACATCAATACATTCAATTATTTTTTAACTTTTTTTTTGCCGTGCAACGCACGGGTTCGAGTCTAGTAATGTACAATGATGCCAAAAAACTACTTAAATAATGACTAATGCATAATTACTAAAAGTGATACATTGGGAAAAAAATACATGTGATGCTATTTAGAGAAAGTCATTATTTTAAGTGTTATTTAAATAAATTTCCATTGAAAAAGTATACTTTTATAGAGTAAGCAATATACAAAAGTCGTGTTGGAGACCAAAATTTTCATACAAATAATGGTTATCTAATGTTAGAAAGTAAAAGATTCATATAAATTTAATAGAACAAAATCAACAAATACTTATTTAATATGGAGTATAAAATTTAATACACATAGTGGCAGAACATGCATGTCTGTGTGGAGTACAAAAATATTGATCATTGAATAAAATATTTTTTTTTGGAATTGAGATGTGTTTTAATTGATAATAAATCAAAATTTAAAAATGCCAAAAATAGTATATTCAAATGTCACATGCCACCACCACAACAAACACTCAACTAAAAAAATCATATATATGATGTGAGACTCTTTTTCTTTTCCAAAAAAGTAAGAAAAAAATGAAAATGTACCTTTGATACAAAAAAATTATGAGCAAAAATTTATGTAAGATTAAAAACAGTGTAAAAGCTCTTTCAATCCTACCCTTCAATTTCTTATATATAGTGGATCACTTGTTAGACCATGTACGAGATGTTTCCATAAAATACTTCTATTCTATACTTATTTTTCAAGATCTATCATTTGGAGCCTCTTGAGAAAGAATGCTTTTCATGCATCACATGTTTGGGAAAGCATACATTACTTCCTTGAACGGCGGTGTATTGCTCACATGAGAAAAGATGCAAAAACAAAAGAATTCTTGGAAACAACTCCCTTGGAGGAAAACATGAATGAAGGTACTCTAAATTTAAAAATGAAAACGAATAATGTTTATATTTAGAAAAAAATAATTTAAAAAACATAAATGTCGAAAAAACTAAGAGAAACATTCTTAGTACTCTATTCGCCATCACCAAAGGATTAAATGTTAGTTTTGGCCTTTGAGATGCACCATTTACACCAGTATTACAAAAAGTTATGTAACTGCACCTCAATAATTAATTGCCATTTACAGTTAAAAACAAATAAACTCACAGGCCTTAGAAATAAAAAAACAACATAACTTGAGGTGCCAGCAGTGGTGGACCCACCTTGAGTCCTATGGGGTCCCGGGACACCACGGACCCCGTTGTAGGTCCATATAGGTATTAGGTTTGTAACTAGAATTAATATATAAAAACAGCGTTGCAGCCATTAACCTGAAGTGCAATTGGTTCAGCGGAAGCGCGTATAACATGGATAATTTAGATTTCCAGGTTCGACTCCCCTCTTGGTTGTTGGGAGTGCGTTTAACCTATTTTTTAATAAAAAAAAGAGCTTGGCGTATATCTCCTATTTTCTTTACAAATTTGACCTCTTCCCCAATTCTCTATTTCGACTTTTTAATTTTGAACTCTAACCTTCATCTTTTAAACTTTTAAAAATAAAATATCTAAACTACCCCTAAAATAAGTCACATTTTTTCACATTATTTTATCAAATTAAAATAAAATACCTCATATTATTTTATATTTTTTCTAGTTATATTATCTCTACCTTAAATAATCTTCCCCTTTTGACTTTTTAGTCATATTTTACAAATTTGAACTACAAATTATGAAAACATGTATATTTAATTATGATATAAATTTAATATAATGAAATTGATTTTAAAATTTAATTTTGAAATATCAAATTTTGCTCACATCTACTAATATACTTATGTATATAAATGAAAGGATAAAAGATATATTCAAATACTCTTATGTTCCATTTGAATACAATTTGGTAAAAATTGAGTAAAATTGGGTGAAATTAAGTGAATTATACTCAATTGAGTGCAAAATTTATAAATTATTGAGTATATTTGGTTGGAAATAGAGAAAATTAAATTTAATAGAGTCGAATATAATTAATTTTACACCTAAATGTAATGGTGTAGATCAAATTTGAAAATGATAATAGTAAAGGCTGTCGCTAGAGAGTTTTTTCAAAATGCTAACACTAGCATCTAATTTTATTGACTAATATTGAGTGAATTGGTTTGAAACTAATAAAATTAACTCTCAAATAATAAAAATTTGTTGTAATGAGATGAAATTAGGATAAAATCTAGTTATTCCATACAATTCATTATATATTCCTTTCGTCCCAAAAAGAATATCACACTTCATTATTTAAAAATTACGGAAATTTTATTTGTTTGTGCGTTATCATTTATATGTATAACTTATCTTTAATTTCTACAAATAATAAATTTAAAGCATAAAATTTTGTACTTCTTTTCAAGAAGATAATCCATTTTATGAGGGAATGAGCAAGTAATGTAATTAGTTCAAATGGTAAAATAAAATTAAAAATTTAAAAACATAATATGCATATTGAAAGGCAAACATAGTTCTGAATTTATCGATTTTAGTTCTAATCGGATTCGGATATTATCGGTTTCAGATCTAATCAGTTTTGGATTTTATCGATTTCAGGTATTATTGGGTTCAGATCTAATCGGTTTTGGGTTTAATCGGTTCGGATATTATCGATTTCGGATCTAATCGGTTTCGGATTTAAATCGGATATGAATTATTTAGTTCGATTTCGGTTCGATTCGGATCATTTCGGGTTTTCGGTTATAGATCGAATCTTCATTTTTCGGGTCATTTCGGTTTCGGTTTCGGATATTTCGGTTTGGGTAATCGGTTCCAGTTCTGTTTTGCCAGGTCTAATTTTACCTCACATGACCCATTGTGGCTAAAAGCTAACAGTTAGCGTTTTCGCCCATACGAGTGTTGCTATGACAAAAACTACTCCGTAATCCAATAAAAATAACCCAATATTCCCAATATAGGACCATATGTTTTTATTTTCCAATGTAGGATTTTTGGTCATTATCAAATAATCATTATTCAACTAAATGTCCATCATTAATAGACATTATTCCTTCCACTAGGTCATTATTAAATCCTATTTATGGAATAAATAAGTTTAAGTTCTACATTAGGGGTTATTATGTTTCAGTCCTATTTAGTGCAAATTTCTTATATACTACCAAACAAATAAAAAGTTTAATCTATTTCATTAATAGTCTGATCCGTAACGTCTTTTACAGAGATTTTACACAGGCCACGACATCACTCTCTGAAATTAAACTCAAGCATCAAATTCACATATCCACAAACTGAAACTTGCAAAATGCAGATCAGATGGATTCTTCATCGATGGGACACACAACAAAAAAAACATAAGGCAGTCACGATTCATAGGCAATAAATTGATCAGAAACTCACAAATGACAACAATTGAAATATAAGTCAATATATGATTCAAGCAGATATTCCTCTGCATACATACACATAGTTTTTGTGAGAACTGATTTGGTGTGTGTTTGTGGGGGGGTGGGGGTGGGGGTGGGGGTGGGGTGGGGGACGGCTACAGTGAATCATCCGACTCATCAGAATCACTTCTCTCAGGCTCGGGCGGAACGTGAGGCTTTGTTGCAGGTTTGGGTGCTGCCGCTTTCTTATTAGAAGTGCGTGCGGCATCTTCCTCTTGTTCAGCCACTCCCACATGTGATCACACACACACACATAATCAAGGACAAAACAAGTAACAGTATATGAAGGGTTCATTCTAGTATTTGGTTAGAAAAGGTACATGATTTTTCCTCTGTTTTAAAATACTCCGTAGTACGGAGTATTACTCAATATAAAGCTTTTTGAGCAGATGATATGCAGATAAAATAAACAAAACACTTGAAGGATATCGATATTCTCTGCTGTTCCACCAGCCATGATATTCTGCAAATCTTTCTCAACACGCCTCACAAGCTCCGGCTTCAAAAGCCATTCACATGTCAATAATGAGAATGACATTCATCCAATTCAATAATGCCCAACTCTTCAATCTACTAGGACCCAATGGGATGTGCATATGCTCTTCTTCTACTTCTCTTTTCGTTAAATGTATAAATGATGAGAACGCTTACAAAAATAACATAACTCACATTTAGATCTGGTTCCCTGCGAAACCTTCGCCTCCGAGCATCTCTCATTGGAGGGGTGAGGCCATGTCTGTACTCCGCTTCATCTGGAGCAGGATCTCCTTCTTCCCTAACCATAATCATCTGTGAGAGTGAAGACAAACCAGATGAGTAATAAAGCTACGTGCCACAGCTGTATTGGGACAATGACAAGAAGAGGTCGCCAAGAAGTAATTGGCCAATTGGGTGAATGCAAGACAATGCCTTTGGACTACCTGACCAATATCTGCAGTTTTTATCAGCACGTTGTCATCATAGGTTTTGTAAGATTCCACTATGCAAGGAAGATCCAAGAGGGATGCAGGGAAGCGTTCATTTCCAATGACAAATGTGCCACTCCTACCATCCTCTAAAACACAAAATTAATTAAAGAAACAATTAAAAAATATGAAAAATATATGATGTAATGTAGTAACATAGTAACATTTGCTGGCCCCACGTTTTGATATATTTGTTCTGTTACACTACTGAACCCCTCACAAATTTACCAATTTAAAGGGCAGTTTCTATGATCCAGCTCCTAATATAGCTTGAAGCAGACACTACTTGCCTACATTACAGTCAAGACAATCTCATCCCCCCCGTCCTAAAATAAGGCCCCACATTTGATCAACGGGATTATGAAGATAGGTGAAATTGTGTGGTTGAGATTTATGTGAACCACACATTTCTCGCACTAAAAAGAAAGTGGAGCCTTATTTTTACCTAGCTTCTTACATAACAGAGGAAGTATTTATTTTCTGTTCAGACTGAAGGGTCTAGTCCAACAGTTATGTCTACAAGCGTCAAGCCTAGCAAGAAAACCAATAGCACTGTTTACATGTAATAGTTGACTAAATTTTCACTTAGAAATTTATTAACTTGTAATAAAATTTGCAACATGTGGAGTATAACTTTAGATTCATGTCCTAAACTCTCAATCTACTCCAAAACCATCATGAGTTTGGGTGCAGGATGAACAGAAAAGTTAACAACTTAAAAAACCATACCAGAAAATGTCAAATCCAGTCCTGTGTCTTCTGAAGAAGCATTCTCACTTAGAAGGCGGTCAATTTGCTCAGCCACGGAAGGTGGAACCCTGAGTATGAATTGTTCCTCCATGTCTAAAGCCTAAACAATGTGGATGTATTGAATCAACACTCACATTTAACAGATTTCAAAGATTTAATTGAAAAGTAAACCCAGCCTTGATGTTGGCGCAAAAAGCAAGTAATTGTATACGTATTTAAATTGAAAGGAAAAATAAACAAAGAGAAATCAGAAACTTGGCTTTGAAAATTGATTTAAAACAGCCTTGATTCAATCTTTGATCCACATATGAACTTTTAAATTTTAAAGCATTAACAAGATAGTTTAAATATCCAAAGAATTAGACTGTAAATCCTTTTCTATTTTCCTGTCAGAGTAGCTTACATTAGGACCAGCCCGAACCTAAACTCTACTGTTTTCAATAACCTTAAGACCAACCCCAAGTTTTAACTAATTATAGAGTATTGTGCTTTAGAAAAACATCATCTACTTTCTTGTAACCAGATTGCAATAACAAAACATTTTTACAACACCTAATCAAGAAAAAACCAGGGAAGAGCCAGTTCATACTTAACTAATTGTTACCCAGTTTCACAAAATTTCAGCTTTTGCATACTGTCAATTTCGCAAGATAACAGTTTGTTTCAAATTAAGCAAAAGGTGTGCACTACTAATCAACTAACCTTAGTCAACAACAACAACAACAACCACAAACCCAGCCAAAACCCATAAAAGTAAGGTCTAGAGGGTGGGTGTAGAGAGGTTGTTTCTGTGAGACGTCTGTTGAAAAACAAAAGTACGAGCAAAAAAACCACAATAGCACTAATAAAGTATGGGTAAAGAGAGAAGAGAGAAGGAACACACATCCTGACTCAAAGAAGTAAACCCAAAGCACACAAATGCAAGCTACAAACTAAGGCATAAAAGTACACCCACTAAGGCCCACATGGCTACCCAACTGCTCTAATCCTAGATATTGAGGCATTCATATCTAACTTCATATCCTCGTGAGATCATGGAGTCGTTAGTACTACCAAATCACCTCCATCCAACTCTTCCCCAAGTCTACCTCTACCCCTTCTCACTCCGACTACTGCAACCCTTTTGCATCTCCTAACAGGCATCGGCACTCCTCCACCTAACATGCCCAATTGTCAATTATCATTTGAAAACAATTTTCTAACGGCTTTGGATTACCAAACTTTATGAACAAATAATCAGTTTCATCAACAATTGACGTTCATATGGTTCACATGATCGATTCAAAAACAAATAAACAACTCAGACAAGACGAAATTAACAAACATACAAGCTGAATCCATTCTCTTTTTTTAAAATAACACACTGATTCTGAAACTTTTTTTTTAAATTAAACTATAATTCAGCTATGACTTCTGGGAATAAAAAAAACAAACAACAAAGATTTGAATCAAAATAAGCGTTTTACTTCTTTTCTAGACCCAATCTCGTTGCTGATTGCTGCTGCGATTCGCTGAAACTGCTCTATGCTCCAGCCTTGGTGCTTCGTCTCTGGTATCTCCTCGGGGATTGCTGCGTCGCTGCTCTGGCTCGTCCCTGCTACGATGCTTCACGGTGATAAAAACGGCGATGGTGCTCCGGCGCGTCAGCGTTCTCGCCGGGATGCGTCTGCTACGCCTTCGTCCCTGGTTGTGCTCTGCTGCGATAATGCCTCACGCTTCTGGTTATTTCCGATGTGGATTGTGGTTGCAGCTTTGGGTCTGTTTGGTTGAATGGGAGGAATAACCTCTCCTAAATTGAAATTTGAAATGGGAAAATTGTGTTTGTTTGGACTTTGGACTTTGGATGAAGATAAAAACAAAAGGTCAAAAATACTTGGGTTACTAATTTTACCATAAACTTTCAAGTGTAAATAAAATATTTGATGATGGATGGGAATGTGAAAGATATGACTACTCTATAATCATTCTATCTAAAAAAACCTCAATTTAAACATCCTTAGTATGTGAAATGGACACATTTTAACAAAAGGCTGTAACCGCACCTCAATTAAATATCTTTTACGGTTAAAAATAAATAAACCCATAGAACTTAGAAATAAAAAAAATAATATAATTTGACATGCCAATACAGAGAAGTGGTCGGCTTAGAATTAAAAAAAGACAATATATCTTGAGGTGCATGTAGAAAGTAATCCTCTTAATATTTTTGTGCTGCATGGCTTGTGCATGAAAGTGATGTCGGTTCGGATAAAAATATGTCTCAATTTTAATATTTTTATTTTTATTCAAAATGAGAGATTTGATAGTCTAGGATGTTTAGTGATAAATTATTTTCAATTTAATATGTTTGAAGATAATATAACATTTAAAATACATGTACTTTCTTTGAACATCTCCCTTGATTTGAGTAGTAAGAACCTCATTTCTCAAGATTTATATGGAAGTTTAGATTGGTTCGATTCTCATATTAATTAGATTAATAATAAATAGATTTGATTTGACAAAGATAAAAGTAAAAAAAAAATTTGAAAGGAAGAAAGTATGAAAGAAACATTTTTTCAATGGACCGGTTCAAGGAACCATCAAAGCAAGTGATACGATATTGTAAAAAAAAACTCATCAATGGACAATATGCCAAGGTCAGGCCCAAATATTTTGAAATAGGCCTCAAATCTATTAGACAAAACAAGAGTGGGCTCAAAAGTCTATTGAAATCGGCCTGGATTCTATTAACCTATAGTACTTTAAAGATTATACAAAATGGAGTAAAATAATATTGAACTGGACTGAGGAGCTTGAGCTGTTAAGCTTAATTTTTGAGCTTTTCTCCATTTTAACGAATCAAATGAAAATATTATTTGGTTATGACGTTTGCATACATGTTTAAGTCTGGATTGTGTTGTGCCAACTTAAATTTTGGTTCTAGGCCACTGTTTTGATTTAGTTTTTTCTCCCAATTTTTTGAATTTTTGTATTTTAATTTTTTACCTCTTCTGTTTCACAAAACTCTCTGTACATTCTTTAAAATTGTTTGTTTGACGTGATCCGACCCGAGAAAAGACTTAATAGACCCTTTGATTTCTGGCGCAATATCAAATAAGCCCGAGTGACAATTTATACTTTATTTAAAAATAAAAAGGAGGGAAGTCCTTATTTCATTTACCCGCCTAAATATTCTTCACTCATAAATGGTAATTGCTAAACTAAGATAGGTAAGTGTTTAATGTCAATCCTCCATTAAAAGGTAATCATTTTTTTTAAATTTAACACGGTACTGTGTGTAATAAATTAAACACATGTAAAAATAATAAAGATGCAATGTGTGTAATAAAATAAAAGGTTGAAATGGTAAGTAACACCAAAAAGGTGTGTAATAAATTACAATGTTGAAATGGTAAAAAATACCAAAAATATGATTTATATTAATAATTTAAGATGTAATTAAAAATACAAAAATGGTAGGTAACACCAAAAATGCTGAAATGATAAGTAACACCAAAAACGTAATTAATATTTACAAATTAAGATGTAACGTGTGCATAAAAATGTAATTCAAGCTATATTGACTTTATTAAATTTATGATACGGTGTTGTAAAAAATTAATTAACATGGTACCATGTTTCATTTTAACTTCATACGTATTTTAAATAAAATGATTTTAAATAAAATAACTTCCTTATACACGGTTTTGGTAAAAATGAATAATAAATACATTGTAAGTACCTATGACATAAATAAAATAATTTCCTTATTTTATTACGTATGCAATGAAAAAAGGTGTGTAATAAATTAACATGTTGGAATTGTATGTAACACAAAAAACACCAAAAATGTAATTTATATATAAATTAAGATAAAAAAACACAAAAATGGTAAGTAATACCAAAAAGGTTTATACTAAAATAAAATGTTGAAATGGTAAGTATACCAAAAATGTAATTACTATTTACAAATTAAGATAACGTGTGTATAAAAACGTAATTAAAGGTCATTAAAATTATGATACGGTGTTATTAAAATAATAATTAATACGGTACTATGTTTCCATTTTAACTTCATACGTATAATAAATAGAGAAATTTTCTTAGCTGTGTCAATAAAATAATGATTTTAACATATTTCATTTCTCTAGTAATGTAAATGATATCTAATGAGACGTAAATAACATAAATTAACATATGTTAAAATAATGAGACGTAATCATATTTACGTTACTAAATTAACATATTTCTATCATTAAAAAATAATCTTAATTTAGTAACATAAATATGACCCGTACAACGCATGGTTGTAATACTAGTGACACGTAAATTATGAGAACAGAAGTACTCTTTTTGATTTTTTCTTTTTTCGATTTTTTTAAATTATAATAATAATATATACTCGTAAAAAGTGCTATTTTTAAATTTAATGTCAGTGTATTTGTTTTAAGATGTACTTTTGAAAAGAAATATTTGAACTAAATAGCATTGAAACTTAAGTTGTTTCCCTAAATAGTATTTAAACTGTTTTATGTCATAAATAACATTTAATAATGTTCAATTATAGCAAATATTTAAATGAATAATGACTAATGCATAATGACTAAAAGTGTCTCACGCTTCTGGTTATTTCCGATGTGGATTGTGGTTGCAGCTTTGGGTCTGTTTGGTTGGATGGGAGGAATAACCTCCTAAATTGAAATTTGAAATGGGAAAATTATGTTTGTTTGGACTTTGGAGGAAGATAAAAACAAAAAGAAAAATGCTAGGGGTACACCAAATGGTGTACCCCATTTGTCCCTCACCCCCTCTATAACCACTCAAATAGGCAAGAAAAATTTAAAAAAAATAAGTAAATAAAAATTAAATACAAATAAGTGGTTATAGAGGGGGTGAGGGACAAATGGGGTACACCCTAGCATCTCTCAAACAAAAATACTTGGGTTACTAATTTTACCATAAACTTTCAAGTGTAAATAAAATATTTGATGATGGATGGGAAATGTGAAAGATAGGACTACTCTATAATCATTCTATCTAAAAAAACCTCAATTTAAACATTCTTAGTGTGTGAAATGGACACATTTTAACAAAAGGCGGTAACTGCACCTCAATTAAATGCCTTTTACGGTTAAAAACAAATAAACCCATAGAACTTAGAAATAAAAAAATAATATAATTTGACATGCCAATACAGAGAAGTGGTCGGCTTAGAAATAAAAAAAGACAATATAACTTGAGGTGCATGAAGAGAGTGATCATCTTTATATTTTTATGCTGCATGGCTTGTGTATGAAAGTGATGTCGGTTTGGATAAAAATATGTCTCAATTTTAATATTTTTATTTTTATTCAAAATGAGAGATTTGATAGTCTAGGATATTTAATGATAAATTATTTTCAATTTAATATGTCTGAAGATAATATAACATTTAAAATACATGTACTTTCTTTGAACATCTCCCTTGATTTGAGTAGTAAGAACCTCATTTCTCAAGATTTATATGGAAGTTTAGATTGGTTCGATTCTCATATTAATTAGATTAATAATAAATAGATTTGATTTGACAATGATAAAAGTAAAAAAATGTTTTGAAAGGAAGAAAGTATAAAAGAAACATTTTTTCAATGGGCCGGTTCAAGAACCATCAAAGCAAGTGATACGATATTGTAAAAAAACTCATCAATGGACAATATGCCATGGTCAGGCCCAAATATTTTGAAATAGGCCTGAAATCTATTAGACAAAACAAGGGTAGGCTCAAAAGTCTATTGAAATCGGCCTGAATTCTATTAAGCTATAGTACTTTAAAGATTATACAACATAAAATAAGTGCCCGGCGACTAGGGGGTAAACAGATAATAAACAGATCAGATATGCAATTATCAAATCTGTATCCGTTTATTTTATCAGATATCAAATTCGAATTTGGATCTTGACAGATATTAAAAATCAAAATCGCATATGCATCCGTTGGATATCAGATATATCTGTATCTGTTTCTAATTTTTAAAGTTAAATTGAAAAATACTTCAATTTTCAACTAAATTAAAGTAAAAATATTATTTATTCAATTGTAATTTGTTACAGAGTAATTTTTTCTTATTTTTTATATTTTATAAAAAATAATGCATGTAGCTAAGTTAAGAATGAATTCCAGTATAGAATTCATTTTGAACTGATAGCCCGCCACGATAAAAACCTTGGCCAATCTGAGATGCGCTCTGCCTCCATTCGAGCCATATGCCCCTCATAAGTAAGGCGCTTGGTCTCAAGGTAACGGCGAGCCTCCTCAAGCGAGCTACGGGCAGAACGTCTATCCTCGGTAAGAGCTAAGTTAAGCTCTTCCACTTGATGGGGGAGTTGACGCTCCACCTCCTCGGAATGAAGGCGCCATATCTGCTCGGCCTCTTTCGCCGCCTTCCTTACCGCCTCCTCTGCCATCTTTGCTCCAGCTCCTCTTCTGCTTGCCGTCGATGGAGTTCAGCCTCTTCTCGGATCAACCGTTCGCGCTCCAACCACTACTGGACCGCAACCTTCCTCACCGTCTTCATCTCCTCCACATCCATGGCTCGCCTTAGTAATAGCTGCTTGTTTTTGGTCGTAAGGCGCTCGTTCTCGGAAGAGACCCGGTCATTCTCGGACAAGACCCGATCGTACTCTGGGCGCTCAACACAAATCGAATACCGGGACCAGAAATTGCCCAACTCCCAGGACAAAGCGGCATTGCAATCCAAGAGGCGGAGGGCATTGTGCAGGGTGGCGGAGGTAGTGACGTACTCGGACTGCAAAAGAAAAGAAAGATACAATAATACAAAGGGCAAGAAGGAATTAGAAAAGACAAAGGATTAGGAAGAGAACGAGAGTTCTTACCATGCGAGTGTACTCCTCCAGCATGAAAGGCCAAGTCAGACTTTCGGCCACATCCGGATGGTCCTTCCGGAACTGATCCATCTCGAAGAGACGGCATTGGAAGTCCCGTCCGTCCGAGGCCGTGTACCCTATGAAGAGATGGGCCTCCCGTGCATAAGGGTAAGGCAGATCAGCAGAGGCCGTATCCTGTCCAGTGGGAGGCTCGTCTCCGACGAACCCCATGACTTGGCTAGCGGACTCTTCTAAGCCTTGGGAAGGGGTGGAGTTTTGGACCCACTTGTGGTGAGCTTGTGAAGATGAAGACTCGGCCTCATATGTGGGACCAGGATTGGCAGTGGGATGGACTGGTGGGCGGACAGTGGCCCACCAAAAACTAGAGGACCAGATAAGCTCCTCGGCCTCCATGAAGGACCGCTGGATATCCGACCCACGGAGAGAGGCGCTGTGGCCAAGGGGTGGTCCAAAGATGCTCTTTGCTGCGGATTTTACAAAGTTCTGAGCAGTTGGTGGACGGAGCTGAAAAGTGATGTCATCCCCTCCACTGCCAGAGGAGGGGGAAAAGTGCCAAGAAGATTGTGGGCGGCATTGGAGCCCAAGCTCGTCCACTTGAACATGGGGCGGTTCAAGGGACCCCTGTGAACCAGTGGCCCACCTAATGGGACAAATGTCACTGTCATGGGGGTGAGGGTGCAATGAACTAGCAGGCTAAATGGAAGAAGAAATCCCCTTGCCAAAGAGAGGGGTTTGGGGCACATCTGGGATGAAATTGGGCCCTTAAGAGTCTCGGGAGAGAAACGACTGGGGTTGTAGCTAATTTGGGATTTTTAATGTATATTTTGCCGTTAATTATATTTTGCTCCTTAACTTTAAGCCATTAGATTAATTTAGTTAATTACTCTTATTTAGGAGATTTATGTAATTATGTTTCAACTCTTATTTTGAGAATATGTTTTACTCCGTATGTTTTACTACTACCTTGGTCCTTCTCTCATATTCCAATTTCAAATGTCCAAAAATAAAAGAAAAAGCCACAAATAAATTGGTAGAATTGTACGGTGCAAATATTGAGAAAGAATTGGATGGGGACTATGTGGGCCTTTCTCTCACGTAATTTTCTCTCACATTCATACGGATGCCTAATTATATCGTGGCCCAAAGAGGTCCATATATTACGTATTGACTTGGTCCAGTTGTATTTCTGAGTTGTTACTTTGAAACACCCCATTAGCCCATTTTAATTATTGTCCTTTTTATTTAAGAGCAAAAATCTTCTGGCATTGAGTTTTATTCGCTCGCATTCTTCAAAAATTGTATGTCTTTCTTAAATTTTAAAAAGTGAAATTTGCACTAAATAGGACTAAAACATAATGACTTTCCTAATGTAGGATTTAAACTTTTTTATTCCCTAAATAGGACTTAATAATGACCTAATGGAAGAAATAATTAATGTCCAGTAGTGATGGACATTTAGTTGAATAATGACTATTTCATAATGACCAAAAGTCCTATATTGGAAAATAAAAACATATGGTCCTATATTGGGAAAGTCATTATGTTTTAGTTCTATTTAGGTAAATTTTTCATCACACGTTTATTAATATACCCGTTGAAGCTTTGATACTTAGAGTTTGATGAAGAAGTTGAACGATTGGGGAAGAACTTGATCGAGTGATGCTCAGGCTTGATATTTGCTTACCAACATTTAAAATGAGTAATTGTTTAGGATTTCAGGAGGTTAAAAATAAAGAAGATAATGTTTGGAAAAAACATATTGTAAAACTCACGTGTGATAATAATTATATGAGTTTAGATAAATCTATACCTGCACCAGACGAGCGTGTAATTAACACACTCCCAAATATGGTACATAAGGACTATTAATGCAACATTTTTTAAAAACTCAGGGACTAGTGTTGTAATTGTTAAAATTTAGTGGGAATCTACATACTTTTTAAATAGTCTAGGTATTATTAGTCTTAACTGTATATTTCGGCCTCCGGTACACCTATAATATCTGTTAGTCAAATTGATTATTCCTTTCCTTTCTAATTTATATTATACTCGGATTGTTCTCATCTATATTACTCCCTCCGTTCCACAAAACTCTTCCGGTTTTGACTTTGGGGAAAAATAAGGAAAGTTTAATTTTGGTTGACTTTCCAATTTTGCTCCTGATGTGATGGAAAAAGTAAGATGTACGGTAATAGTTTAGTTATTAGTGAAAAAGTATGATGTGATAGGTAGGATATGAAAAAGTATGGGTAAAAGTAGTTTTTTAATAGAAAGTGAAAGTGTTTCGTGGAAAACAAAAAAACGAAAGAGAAAGAATTTTGTGGAACGGAGGAAGTATATCTGGATTGATTTGGTCCAATTGTATTACAATGTTTATTAGAGATATTGGAAGGAATGGAAGCCCCTCAATCCTTTCATTACCCTCTCCTCCTATCCCTCCAACCAATTAGGTTATGGGAATTCTCAAGTTTGAATTATCATAAAATTGCAATTAAAAGTTTCAATTTCCATCAATGAATATCTATCCCCCCATTTTGTACAAATTCTTTAATAATATCAGTTACAAAGTTCACACTTTTAGCGATAAGTTGGACTTAAAACCTGATGCCGGGTAATGACCCAATAAAAATTCATTAAAAAAATTTAAAGTTATTGCGATACATACATTTTTTAAAGACATTCAGACACAAATTTTAAAATCTAATGTATCAAATAAATGGAAAAAATAAAAACGTTGTCTAATATTTTTTTGAGCATTGATAAAATTTGGGATGGGTATGGACAACTGGATTGGGCTATAAGACACTTGGGTTGAACCACATTAAAAGATTGAATCCAATCGATTAGTTAGTTCAACTCAAGAGCTTATATACCGATTATTTTCCTCACACTTTTTCGATGTGGGATAGACTCTAACAAGTATTAATATCTTCCACATTAATTTGTAGAATTAAAAAATTACAGTAATCAAAATACTAACACTAGTAATAAAGGATATTCTCAAACAAAGAATTAGGAGAAAATGGCTAGTAAGAAAGTCAAGAAGTCAACATCCTGCGTGCGGGGAGCGGACATGCAGCCCACATTAGCGAAAAAGAATACTTTTGGTACGCTGGAGATACGATGAATCCATCTGAGCCGTACGTGTTTTCTTGCTGGAAGTTAAGAGACCGTTCGATATTTTTCTGACTTATCCTTTTTCTGACCTTTTTAAGCGATTATGTTCGTTTAAATTCTCAAAATAATTTTTTCTAATATACTCCCTCCGTCCTATATTTTTCTTTTCGTTGCGCAAAATGAAGAAAAATCTCAAGTTTTTTCAATCTATTTTATTTAAATATTGGTATAGAAATAAAAAATAAAATATACTCCCTCCGTCCCAAAAAGATTTACACATTTTGACTAAAGTTGAAATTAAGGGAGGGATAATTTTGTGTTGACTTTCCAAAAATACCCTTGATGTGATGGGTAAAAGTAGGATGTGATGTGTAGATTATTAGGAAAAAGGTATGATATGATAGGTAGGGTTTGAAAAAGTAAGGGGTAAAAGTGGTTTTTAATAGAAATGGGTAAGAGATTGTGGGACACAATTTTTTTGAAAGGTGTAAATCTTTTTGGGACGGAGGGAGTAGATTTTTAAAAACTACATCAAAAGTTCAACAAAACAAGTTGTGACAAGAATATTTTATTTTATCATATAGGCCATGAAAAAACACAAATAAATATAAATTCCCGTGAAGTTGGAATAGTGCTCTAGGAAGAAAGTTTTAGGACGGAGGGAGTAGTGTTTTTCAAATTGGTTATTAATAGGTTTTAATTGCTTACATTGTATTTTATAATTGAGATTTATTATCTAAGCAATCCTTCGTAAAAAAGCTATTTAAATGGAATGTATTTTGGTATTTTTATCATCTATTTTTTTTGAATGTTATTGACTCTATTACAAGGTAGTATCTGTTCATACTATTCTCAATCTTTTAATATAGTTCTACCTAAATGTCTTATGGCTCAATCCAGTGATCCCTACCCTATTCTAAATTCCATCAATCTGTAATGACTAAAAATAGATTAAAACCAAAGTGTATGAATTTCTATTCGATTATGTACTTCGTAATATTAAGAATTGAAAAGACGTTGCAAAAATGAAAGATAATAACCCGAGTAATTGAAAGATAATAACCCTAGTAATTTATAAAACTGAAAAGACGTTGCAAAATTCCGTTGCAACAGAAATTTCGTAGCAGGAGTTAGCAATGTCATTTCCGTTGCAAATTTCCGTAGCAAATACTTGCAACAACAATTTCTGTTGCAACTTTCCGATGCAATGCTAATGCAACGGAATATCTGTTGCAAACAGAAATCTGCAAACAATGGTTTTTGCAACGGCAAATTTGTAACATAATTTTCATTGTAATTGGCCATCAGCAACGGAATACGATGAATATAGCAACGGATTTGGCTGTTGCAATTCAAAGTATTCCTTGTAGTGTTATGTGATTTTTAAGTGTGTAGTTTATAGGAAATAACTTTTTTATTCCAAACTAATTTGTGAATAAAATACTTTTAAAAGAAATACCCGTAAAATTTTACACCTACGTACGGGGTGAAACGAAACTTTTCTCTTTTATCTCTTTCACTCTTTATCTCTTTTTTTTCCGCAACCAAACAAGATGTTAGAGCCTCATCTACCATCATCAAATTGAATGAAGAAAAATGAGGAATTGGTAAAATTTGAGATAAATAACCCATGCATCCATCAAAAGGGTGCAGTGTGATACCTCATATTTTATATCTTTAGCAAAAAGATAATGTGTATTGAAACCCTATCCATCAGATATTCCCCTTGAAATGGCCTACCAATTGCAAGATGAATGATGATGATGATAATTGTTGGCGATAGAAGAAGGAAGCTGGACCGAAGAAAGAAACTGAATCCCTTTGGGATTCGATTTAGTATCTTTCCTAGTTTGTTTATTTCTTGTTTTAGTAGGAATAGAAATATGGTAGGAATAGAAGTTTACTTATATGCTTTACTCTCTTTCTATATAAAGAGGGTTAGACCTTTTTATTCATAAGCCAATTCAATATACAGAAATATTTTCTCTCTTATTTTCTACATGGTATCAGAGCAAGTTTTGAATTCTTGAGACCTCAAACACGCTTCTTCCCTGCCGGTGGGCATACACAATTCGATGCCTACCGGCGGGATATTGTAATTTTTTATTTTCTTTGACGGTTCTCCCTCACTAAAGAATATCATGAACTAGCTCCTTCAACGAAGAACATTGTTGTCGAGGAATCCCGCCCAACCATCAATCTCGAAGAAGTTGTCCGAGAAGAGTTGTTATATAGAGACATACAACTCTTTCCTTTGCAGGCAATAAAAAAGTCAGCGTTCAGGGTGTTCGAAAAGAA